TTGTAAAGTTGATTGTTCGGTTGATTGTTGTGTTGATTGTTGGATTGGTTGTTTGTATGATTTTTTGATTGATTGTTTGATTAATTGTCTGAATGATAGTTTGAGTGGTTGTAAAGTTGATTGTTCGGTTGACTGTTGGATTGGTTGTTCTGTTGATTGTTCAGTTGATTGTTTGATTGATTGTTGGATTGATTTTTGGATTGCTTGTTTGGTTGATGGACTCATTGCTTGTTTTTTTGATTTTTTGATTGTTTTGTTTAATGGTTGCTCGGCTTTCTTTTTTGGTTCTTTTTTGATTGGTTGTTCAGTTGATTTATTGGTTGGTTGTTCGGTTGATTTATTGGTTGGTTGTTCGGTCGATTGTTCAATTGGTTGTTCGGTTGATTCTGATTTGGTTGCATGCTTTTTTCGAACTCGACGTTTTTTGTTCGGCGGTTGTTCAGGCTGTTGTTTAAGCTGTTCTTTATGTTGTCGTTTGCAGTTTTGTTTAGGCTCTTTGGGGTTTTGTTGTTGGTTTTCTTCTTGGTTTTCTTGTTGGTTTTGTTGTTGGTTTTGTTGTTGGTTTTCTTGTTGGTTTTCTTGTTGGTTTTCTTGTTGGTTTTGTTGTTGGTTTTCTTGTTGTTTTTCTAGCAGCTTTTCTTGTTGTTTTTCTAGCAGCTTTTCTTTTCTCAGTTGATTTACCGCCCAAAATTGTTGATCTAGCCTGCGTCGCCTTAGATCTTCTCCTTGTAGCCATAGCAGTCCCTCTTTCAATTCTGGGTTTTGTCGTTGTAGTCTTAATTGTGCATCGAGCAATACGCGTTGTAGCTCTTCATATTTGTGTTCTCTACATCGTTCTTTTAGCAAGTATTGTTGCTTCAGTACGTATTGCCATTGCTGTTGTATATGTAGGCGTAGCTTTCGTTTTTGTTCATATAATTCTAGTTGGCGTTGGGCTTCTTGGTTTTCTGGTTGTTGGGTTTGGTATTGTTTTAGCCATTGCATTGCTCGTTCTTGTTGCAGCTTTTCTTCTTGTTGCTGTCGGTTTTGTTGTTGTTTTAGTTGCTCTTCCTTTTGCTGTTTCTGTTCTAATTCTTTTAGCCATTTATGTAGTATTTCTTTTTGCTCTTTCTGCCATTCTGGTATTTCCTTTTGTTGCTGTTTTTCGTGTTGTTGTTGTTGTTGGTTTTCTTGTTGTTGCTGTTGTTGGTTTTCGGGTTGTTGTTGTTGTTGTTGGTTTTCGTCTTGCTGTTGTTGGGTTTCTTGTTGTTGTTGTTGTTGTTGTTGGTTTTCGGGTTGTTGTTGTTGTTGTTGGTCTTTGGGTTGTTCGTCTTTGTATTGATTTAACCATTGTCTCACTAGTTCTTCTTCCTTAAGCTTTTCTTGTTGCTTATTTAGGTTTTCTT